GAAGCCTCCTGTTAAAACAACTACTGGGGTATTAGAATGTCCGGTAGGCATTACACGTTTACACGTTACAAAGTTGTTTACAACATTGATGGCAACAGAATGTGTAGGCATTTATGAAACCTTAATAGACTTAGGAACATTCCAAACGTTACTGGTAAGTGACGTTCATAATAATTTACAAAAATTTAATTTACAATGGTAAAAATATATAGATCATTTTGTGCTTTCAAGGATTTATTTTTTAAATATACGTGGAACAATTTTCTACATACTCAAGTACAATATTGCCTGGCTTTAGCTATTAATTGTGATTTGAAGGAAACAAATAACATTATTTATTATAATGTAAGTATTGTCATTACAACTAAATGCAATACATATAAGAAGAAATAAATTTAATTAAACTAATTTTTAGATATTTATCGAATGCAGATTAATAGATCGAATTTTGGAAGCATGGGATAAAAATGACAGTAAACAGTATGTTAAATAACAAATATGAAAAAATCAGAATTGCACCATAACAGTTTTATTTAAAAAATCATTATTATATTTTAGGAATAAGGAAAATGAAAATCAGCCGGGATATATTGGCCATTTAATAAACATTGCAAATAACATCGTTAACCAACGTGAAAAAAGTGAAAATTTAGATGAATTTTTGATATATAATTTATCACCTGAGTGTCTTAGTAAATGGGATCTCTTTGTGAATGTAGAATTAGCAAAAATTAATAAGACTCAACAAATTGTTTTGGTATATTTAAACATTAGATTTTATCTGCTTCTAATTAATTTAATATTGGAATTTCGTTTTGATTATTTAAATTATCATTTGGACTTTAGGGTGGAAAATTGCAAGCGACAAGTTCCAATGAAAACCTAGATGGATATACAGATTACCCTCAACAACAATTTCTCAATGTTCAGCGAGTTGAAGTAGTTAGTAACATTTTTATACACAAAATAAGTATTATTTGTAATGAAAAAAACAATCACAACAATTTCAATTTCTATTTGAAACGAGTAATAGATTATAAAACGAGAAATTTTATTTACGGGCTATAATTATTGATTATTTGACGTAATGGTGCAATGTTTATAGTTCTACTCCAATTATCTGGGACAACATATGGCGCCACAGTTTACTGAAAATTTTGGATTATACGAGTATCACTTTAATGACCGTGATGATGCCCTTCAGTAAGTAAATTAGCATATACTATTTTTTTTTTTCTATTATTAATAATTATATTATTTACGTACAATCATATGCACATGTGCATAGTACGTATGGTTGTAAAATAAAAAGTTCTACTTAAAGTTCTACATTGCAAACAATTGAAGAAAAACTAGGAAAGTAGTGCTATAATGAAGGAATATAATATAAAATAATACCTTCGCAACATCCGTTTTTTTTTTTTATAAATGCTATTATAGTAACTCGGTTGACCAATTAACAACGTTGGCCTTTACTCTCAGTGAAGAAGATCTCGACAAGAGGGAAGATATGTTCAATAAGGTAAAGCTACTATTAAGAAAATTTTTTTTATTTGAAATAACTGAATTTTGTAAATTATTAATGATTTTATGTAGATATGTCAGCAAAAACAAAAGGCTGACTTGGAGGACTGTAATCCAGGAGTAGAATGGGGCGATGAAGGTGAACTTACCTTTCAAACAGTGGTAGATAAACGTGATTGGCCAACAAAACAGCAACATAATGACTCTAATTCGTCCGACGAAGATGATGAAGATCCACGAGATATGCATATGGAAATCGATTCTACTGAGCGTATGGTTTAATTTTCATACTCCTTTCATATGAGTAAAATTTTTATTTTCTTATACAACATAAAGTTTCAGTTTATTCTTTGTTCTAATTGTATAAAATGAAAAAAAAATTGTTTAAACACTTAATGTAAACATTTTAAGATTTATTACAATATTATATTAATATTTGTCACTTTAGCTGGGGATTCAACCAAACCATTACCTACTAGTACTGCACTTCCTGAGGTGAATCCATGGGACGTTGTACAATCAGAATCAGTTGTATCTACTGGTTGGGCAAATTTTGATAATTTTGAAAACACTTTTAATATGGAGAATACTGTGATAATAGATGATGAGAATAAAATGGAAATTTTGTTCAGAAACAAAGGACCAGTAGAACCCATTGGAGCAGGTGATATGAAAATTGATGATTCTGTTGACAGTAGTACTGTTTCATTAGTAAAAACGAATATAAATCACCAAAGTACTGAGAGTAGTTTATATTCTGGTTGTACTGCCGATAAAAATGCAAATCCCAGCGAAACTGTAGGTAGCAGGTAAATAAAGAACATATATTCGTTATTATCTAATTACAAATATGATATATGTGTTATAAACTTTAGAGAAATCAAGTGTGGAGAAAACGTAAAGAGTACGGAACTTGCAACAACCACGGTACAAAATGAAAAGTCTTCGAATGATTGTAAAATCTCATGTAGTTTAGAAAATGCAACAACGGAAGCTGTATTACCATCAACAGATGCCAAGTGAAAAATTATTTGTTGAGTATGGCATTGCAATAGAATAAAAAAAAAAATCATATCAAGTATAAATTTCTACGAATGATCAGAATATATATTACGTCCCTATATTTTCATTAGATCACATTAATTGTGCTTCAATGCGTTGGCGCCTGGTAACAACTTACAGCAGGGTATAAGTATGGAATGAAAAGTAAAAGACTAACCGACGCTCAACTATGAATAGTATATTACTTGATGTATATGTACATGTTCTCGGATCGCCAAAGTTTCAATTATAAATACATCTACGTGAAATACAATTTTCCAGATCTTCTTAATGGACGTTGTTATTAAAAATTTCTTTAGATTGTTATTTGTACGTAACTAATGTGAAAATTTAATTGAAAACATAAATTCAATAGTCACAAAGTTTTTGCGTTATGAATTTGGCATATTGCATGACGAGGTAGATAAAGTATAATTTGTACAGACAAAATCGGTAAACACCAAGGTGGATCGAACATTCATTCGATAGCTCGATACTTGGTTTCACAGAAGTATTACATACTCATGGGTGTGTATATGTACCTGTATATGCATATATACATACATACATACATATATTGTAATGTTTTAAATGATACTGATACGAGGCTCCTTAAAAAAATCGCCGTAAATAATAATATTTCATAAAGAACTGGTGCTTTTGCTTCTTCGTTCGATAAGGCAAAGGTACTTACGTGCAGTGCCTATTGTTTCATTAAATGTTTGCTCGTGCAACGATGCGATATAAACAAGAAAGGAAATTATGTATTTTTATTACGTTGACGATAATATTCACCCAATGTATACACATGTAATGTAATGAAGTATTTCAATAATGAATTTATTTGCATTCCAATAAGAAAATTCTGTAAAACTTAATAACTGTAATAATTTTTCAAAACGATCTTCCAAAAAACTGTAGTATTGCGAGATCCCAAATTTAAAATGGTGTATGCTTTGGTTAATATGTGTATAGTTTTTT